ACCCCCCCCCCCCTGTTTTTCGCGTTTCCAATTCCGTCGATCCGCAAGAAGGCTGCTCTATTTTTGAGTGAGATTTTCCGAGTTGGATCTGGGAATTGAAAATTTTCAAATTTTCAACTGGAATTTGCAAACCGTAAGAAACCACCTCACACTAGGTGATATCACGTTACCAGTAGGAGCATTGGTTTTACCGAACCTGGGTCCAGATAACATGTTGCTAGAAAACAGCATCATGAACGCCTTTGGCGCAATTTTAAACTGGTGTGGCGAAGAATTATCTTTCTTTTGTGCTGAAAATGCCCGCAACCCATCGTCGACCACGGGATCAAACATATCAACATGACCGTGCATCAGCACAAATTTCCGTTGTGACACTTGACCCGTCCCAGGGAGCCGTGCCAGCATATCTTTATAGGAAGTACTGCATTCCTCCGAAACATGAAATGACCGTTGATGTCGTGACTAGCCACGCCCCAAAGGAGACCACTCTTGCAGTCGTTGAGCCACGAATTATCATTGCCGACGATCTTGAATTATCTGACGATACCCCTCAAGCATTCCGCCACATCGTTGTCCCGCGAACAGTCTGTAACTGGTCGGCCATTGACAAGACAACGGTGGTCCAGATAGCTAACCCGTCTGATAGACATGTAACAACATATTCGCCTGATTGAGAGCGAAGTATCTGATTGAGAGCGAGAGCCAAAAAAATTGAAATTTCGGGTCCAGACGCCTCTTGCCATTTCTTGGCAAGTAGGGGACGGGCTATTCCAAGAAGCGGTGCAAATTGAAGGTCTCATCAGCAGCTTCGCGAGCATATGCGTGTCATCGTCATCGGATGCTGCAGCGAGGAGCTAGACAAGTTGCTAGATTTGCCCAGATTGGCTATTTCTGCTCAAACTGTTTCAGGGCGGTATCGCGTCGGGCGGTGGGCTCTGCTGTAGCTTCTGCTCCCCGCTGTAGCTCCACAGCGAGAGACTCCCACAGGATGACCAGGGTAGCGGCTTGAAGCTACAGGCTAGCCCTTCAATTCAAGCTACACAGCAAGCTCCACCTCTCAGTGGTAGTCCGGCTACAGCGTATCGCGCACTCTCGCTCTCAATCAGATGCTACGCTCTCAATCAGCCGAATATGTTGTTATGTTCACCTGGACCGGGATACTATTCTAGGGTATATTTCTGCAGTTAAGACTGTGTCTGCAAAAACGATTAGCGCCGTCAACGATGATCATCAGACTTTTAGGAAAAAGAGAGATGAGCTGAACAAGGCGATGAAGAAGGCGTTTACGGATGCCACATAATCGCCCCTACAATGCTCACAAGTTCTCGATTTATGTGCCCGTTACAGGAATATGTTCTCCCTATCGCCGAACGAACTGGGGAAATGCACCTTGACCGAAGCAGAGTTTCCGCTCGAGCCGGTACACAACCAGTTGATCGGGCACCGTACCGTGCAAACCCACGAGCACAAGAAGTAATCGATAAACGTACAGCACAAATGGAAGCTCATGATATCATTGAACAGCGACCTAGTTCATGGGGATCGGCGGTCACTATTGTAACAAAAGCCGACGGAACCCCTCGATTCTGTCTGTGTGAATTATCTCGATACCATTATCAAGAGTTTAATTCGAAAATCGTGGCCTTTGCCCGATATTATTGCCCACATTGATACAGTAGGTGGAGCAAAGTTTAACACTGTGTGACGAGCACAGCGCGTACCACCAGATACCTTTTCCAGCAGCGGAGCAAGAGAAGACCGCCTTTGTAACTCAAAAAGGGAAATGGGTTTCTAAACGCCTCCTTTTTGGAATTGCGAACGCCCCGATTTTATTTGCTCGCATGATGTCATGAGCATTTATTTGCACATTTGGATCCCGAAGTGGCCTCCTCGTTTACATGGATGACATCATTTGCTGTAGTTCGACTTGGGAAAGTCATAACCTTATTTGAAAATACATTTCAAGCCCTTCGAGCCGCAGGGCTCACATTCAAACTTTCCAAGGTGCAATTCGGACCAAGAGAAGAAGTAATTTATTTAGGTCATATTTTGTCTGCGAAAGGAATTCGAATGGGAGACGCCCGCATTAAAGCTATTATTGTTGACCTGCTCGCCCCTGAAACGATCAAAGAACTCCGTTCAGTTTTAGGCATGATAATTTTTGTGAGGAAATTTCCCCCAGACTTTTCCACGGTGTTAGCGCCGTTGGTAGACCTCACTAGAAAAGAGCACGTCAAATCGATCGCAACACGTTGGCGAAACGAACATGATGAAGCGTTTGAGACAGTCAAACGAAAGCATCATTTTTTCACTTTCCCGATTTTACCAAAGACTTCGTCGTGCATGTAGATGCCAGCGAAGCAGGTGCTGGAGGTTTCCTTGCGCAGCAAACAGGAGATGACCTCAACATAGTTGCATATTTTAGCCAACGATTCCACAATGCTCAGTGCCACCATTCCCCAACGATGAAAGAATGTTAGGCAGTCGTACTAAATTTATACAGCACTGGCGGACCTATTTATGGGGCAGACATTTCGACGTTGTGACGGACCATGCTGCGTTGAGATACTTGTACACGATGCAGGACACTTCAAATGTGCTGACTAGGTGGGCTACTGCTCTGCAGTCGTTTGACTTCACCGTGTGACACAAGCCGGGGAGGTTACACGTTGTTACAGACACGTTATCTCGGTTGTTTGCTTTTGAGTACCAGCAACACTTAGAAGCCCCGAAGCAAACAACCACGTGTAGGAATGTCCCCAAGGATCCTGCCTTGCATGTAGCTGTACCGAACAGACCTTATCGAGTGACCGCAAACCGGCTGGAAAATTTGAAACCAGTGCAAAATGATCGCGAATTGTTTACCATTAATTCGGTTTACATGAGCGCGACCAACGTTTTTGAAACGACGAACCGAGACATCTTGCCGGAAAAACAAGCAGCCGAGTATGGGACATACGTCGACTATCTTGTGGGGAAAAATGCACGAGTCCCGGATAACGACACAGCAACAACCATGTTCTATTATTATTTTGTACGAGACGGATTGCTGTTCAAATCGTTCTGATCAGGTTACCTCAGGAAACGGAGTACTTTCACTGATCAATTAGTATTGCCACAAGCTCTCACGGACTTAGTTTTGCACTCTTACCACGATCACGTTTTGTCCGGAGGTCAACTAGCATCTAGACCGACTTATGACAAGATCCGCCAGAAATATTGGTGGCCAAACAGGAGTCGCGACGTTCGCACTTGGTGTCAGGAATGCCAAGCATGCCAGCGTCGGAAAACCGCGCACAATCGCACCAAACTACCAACTGGACACGTACCAGTACAACGACCGTTTGAGCGAGTTTCAGTGGACTTAGTTGAATGCACGAGCGAATCGGTGCCAGCCACCGGCGTATGAACTGTCACAGTTGCTCAGGCTATCATTGACCGCACCATAGGCATTTTTGGACCGCCTGAGATGTGGCGTTCTGATCAAGGGCCTGAATTTGAGAATAGTGTCATCCACCAGTTACAGAGTATTCTGAACAACAAGAGCAAGGGAATTTTGTCTCAGAACCACTACACTCAACGATGCACGCAATGCTTGCCATGCGTAGTTCAATGAAGCGCGATAATTGGGCATCGCTACAACCCTTCATACAACTGGCGCATATCACTTCCTTTAGTGCAACCATGCATGAAACTCCATTTTTTCTCATGTTTGGTAGACAACCACTACTACCTGTCGATATCATTCTCGGTATTCCTCATGTAGGAACAACAGCCAATACCGAAGAACCTGCCCTTCATCCGTTGTGTATGCCATACTGGTGTCTTGTGTCTCAGTGTGTTCCCAGGTGAGCGGGCCAGTACACACAGCAGTCGCGCCTTGGTCTAAACCTAACATGTTTTTACCCGCACTGCTTAAGCTCACTCGAGTCCCCTAGTCTGAGGAATGGTACATGTCTCTCCAAATATCTCTCCCCTCCATACTTTTCCTAGTTGTTTGCACCCCACGGACGATTTCCCGCTTGAGATTTTGTGCGAAAGACTGCTGCCTCCAGGTACGTATACTTAGCGCAGCAGCCATCTCATACCGTGACATTGTAGAGCGGACGACGATATTCGGCATGCGTGAAATGTGGAAGCCATGGATCGATACGTTTCCTCGACGAACACAGGGGACACACATAGGAGCAGCGTGTAACTTGATTTAGTTGCTTGTTCTCGTCGTGTTTGTTCATCTCCTCAATACAACTCTAAATTTACAACGGCGGGGACCTGTACAGGCAACTGAAAAACATTTGTGCTTTGACGTCATTTGGTCGTGTGATGAGCATGCAACTTCGCTGTGAGATAGGGACCTCCGCGCCGTCCTGGCTGTTGTTGGTGCTTCAGATGCTGTTGTTGTGCAGTCGGTACTGCTGCTGCTGTCCTGTACGGCTCTGTCTTGCAACCTAGCGGTGCGTCTGCTGTGTATATCACATCGAGTAGGTTACGCAAGCCAGCGTTAAGTTTGGCGGGGGTGCATTCGATTTGGGTCACCCCTGCTGCGGCTGTACGAACGAGGCTGTGTGCCCAAGGCTGCTCTACTGCTGTTGGCTGCTGCTGCTGTTTGCTGTTCCCTTGCATCTTTTTTTTTCCGCCTCATTGGACTCTGTCGTCTGCCCCTCTGGCCCCTATCCTCCACTTCTACCATCTAGACGACCCAACCGGGGTCACATAGGAGGGGGGGGTTGGGCGCCCTCCTGCGGTTCCTGCCTGAGGTATTTTTATCGCGAGAAGGGTTCAACAATCCCTTCCCTCGCGACTTACGAAGTCGATCAAGTTTACTACTGCTGTACAACGGGCTTTGCAGCGCGTCGCTTCCATCTGTATCTGCTGGTGTGTGCGCATGTATGTGCACTGGTAAAGTTCTTTCCGATTTTTCGAAGGTCTGTTCGGACTGGTGGCCTCCAAAAGCCCCTGGAAGATCCGCAGGCGGGTCAGTCACATCAGGGTTAACTAGTTACGTGAATCGCGGGGGGGGCGGGCCAATGTTGAGTCACCCTTCATGCTTTCCGTCTCAACAACCTGCATACATAAATGAGAGAAACAACGTCCACCAGCAGCGCAAGTAGACAGGCGTACCTTCACATCGTACATGCGCAAAACGCTCCTCTCGACACAGATCGACCGATCAGCCGCTGGCGAACAGCCGCCCACCAGAGGCCACATTTGAACTTGAACCCGAATATGTTCTTTCTTCCAACCGCACAAACGTCAGCCAGTGTCTCTGAGGTCAGCTGGCCGCAAGCCCGGTCTCAAACCAAGTAAAAAATTCAAATTCAAAAGTTTGGCGCCAAAAGGAAGGGGTTGACGATCTCCGTACGTCGGAGAACGTGCGACATTGGCCTCTTTGAGATTCTCAGCTCGTTCCTCACACCACCGGCAGCCGCACACTTACGCACGCGCGATCACCGCGCAACTAAAGAACCATTTCAGACCACCACCAGCAACGCGGCACTACTGTTCCTATGGCCCGCACGCACTCGGCGGCGCCTGCGGCGAGTTGGGACACGCGCGCTTTCGTGCGGGACACAACCATGTGCCGCCCGTCTTCTCCTTTGGCATCTGGGCAACAGCCCTCCATTCCATCACAAGAGGAATCAAAGGGTGTGCTGACCATTGGGCAACGACAACAGCAACAACAACAGGAGGGCATGGCCGCACCCGCCGCCACCGGCCAGCAGGCACACCGACCGCCGCCGCGTTATACCATCCGCCCCCCCAGCAGATCGTTCGACGGGAAGTTTACCCTGCGCCAGTGTTCACCGCCCTCGGTTGCCGAATTGCACGCAAACGTGGTGAGCAGCAGCTCCAACTTTGATTTCTCGAGCAGCTCGAACCCCGCTGGCGGCGGCGGCGGCGGCGGCGGCGCGAGAGGGCTTGCTGCATGCAGCGGGAGCGACAGCGACGCGTCCATGGATGCGGAGGTGGCGTCGCTAACGAGCGGGCGGCGCCTCGGGTCCGGCGTGGAGGGGCTGGTGAGGATGGTGAACGCGCCGACAAAACTCCCGCGCGCTGAGCCGCGAATCCGAGATGCGGAGTCAGCAGTCGCTCTCTTCGCTCTGCTTTCTCCTTCGACCCACATCACGCCGTCTCCCGTGCAAGGGCGTCACCAGCAGCAGACAACGAAGCAACAGCTGGACCATTTGGGTGACTGTGGACGCTCGAGCTGGGACACGGAGACAGGGGCTGGAGGCGAGAAGGGAGACGAGATTTGGGTTCACGAGCCGGAAGCCAAGCGCCAGCGCGTCGCTTCGCCGAGTAGGTGCCAGACTCTCAACTTCAACACCCACGTGTAGCTATCGTGTGCCGCGCATGTCTCTTGTTATATATGCAACTTTTTTTTTAACAGTGTAGTCTAGACCCAATTTTAAAATATTAAGAAAAAAAAAAAAATTGGGAGGGTTGGGCGTGCACATACGCAGAAACTGCTGTACCATGCTTGGCGCATGCTGCACTGCTGTAGTGCTGGTGTCGAACGCCCAAAAATGTCTAGATATGTAGAGGAGAACGAGAGTAGGGAGCACTGGTAGCTCTGAAAGGTGTTGTTGAGCATATGAGCGTCAACTTGACAGAGGGTGCGGTGCCCGCCGACGTTTGTTTGTGTGTTAAGATGTACAGCATATTATATCCACTATGCTACAAGTCAGCGGCGTCAACTTGACCGAGAGTGCGGTGCCCGCCGACGTTTGTTTGTGTGTTTGTTAACATGTACAGCATATCAACTATGCGACAAAGTCAGCGCTGACTTGTATCTAGTGGATATGCTGTACATTTCAACAAAAGGATTACAACCTTGGGGTTTACCGAGGTGCAACAGCCCGAACAAGCTGAAGGATCCCGGTTGTACTTTTGTTAAGATGGTACAGCATACCCACTATGCTACAAGTCAGCGCTGACTTGTAGCATAGTGGATATGCTGTACATCTTAGCAGCGTTCTCTGGGTGTATGTTTTGTGCGAGGCCTGAATCCATGTCTGTGAGTAAGTTCAACTTTAGACAGACAGACACAGACAGATAGAGAGGGAGAGAGGGAGAGAGAAAGAGAGGGAGAGAGGGAGAGAGAAAGAGAGAGAGGAGGATAATCCGTGTGTATGAGTATCCTCCTGTGTCCCGATGTTGCATATTAGTATAGTTTGAATAGGCCAGCTGGGGCGAGAGCCTGTGACAACCCGTACGGCCCATCCCCCACTCCACCCCCCCGCCTCTTTGCCTGCCCCACCCCGTGGATGATAATTGAGATAATAATTGCTACGTGTCTCCGTAGCGGAACACAAGTCTTGCGATTATTTAATGTTGTTGATACTCTCATCATTTGTTCCCGTAGCGGAACAGCGGAATATGGTAGCAAGGCGGTAACCTGCGGTTTGCGACTTTGATGTAGCCTGGCTCCTTAGGTAGGCGTGTATCGGTTGTGCCGTGTCTTCCGCCCCTTGTCGCTCGAAGTTGGATGAATTGAATTCGTCTCACACTTCGTTTTCTATACTGTATCATTCTAAATTGTTCGGAGCGAGGAAGATCGCCACCCCCGAAGCGGAACCCCGTTGGTTATTGTCTCGAATAATTAAAGTTTGTCGCGTTGCTTGCGTTCTTGGCGGATGATGATGGTTTCCTTGTTCCCGTAGCGGAACACACCTAACGTAGCACATGGGTTAGGTAGCGTGGCCGTGCGACGCCTTCAAACTTGACGAGGATTGGATTCCCAGGCGCAACTTTGTAGTGAGGTTTTTTGCCCTTCGTTCGCGCAAAATTTGTATGAATTGAATTCAGCCGTTTCATGTGCTCCATTTCTTTTACTGGACGGGGATTTAATCCTCGGGCGCAACGTTGCTGTATTTCTTTTGCCCTTGTTTCGCACGAAAGTTGGATTTTTTGAATTCATCCGTTTCATGTGCCTGTTGTCTTTTTACTCTGGTTTTGGTAAAGAAGAAGTGGTTTGCTGCGGTGCTGTGGAGAAGCAGCAGGCTCCTGAAGAAAAATTAGCGGCTGTTCCTTTGAGCGTATCTTGTGCATAGAGAGTGGAACATGTGTTGGGGCACAGCAAGTGGACGCTCGTCCATGAGCAAGCGTGTTGCCACTTAGATAGAGCCAAGGCGAGCTTTATGCATTCCCATGGTACCTTTTAAAATATGGGCATCAAGAACAACGATTAACCTTTTCCTTTGACTCTGGAGCACATTTCGTGCAAGCGGCTGCACTTGTGGACGTGCCGAACCTTGTCGCTTTGGTGGTGTCCAATGCGCGTCTTGCGGGTCGTGTTTTTTTTTGCATGTCTTTCCGCCGACAGATCGAAAGTCGAGTTTGTGAACGGAATTCGATCTGAAATGTTGTTTTTCACGAAATGTATACCCGGTATCGCGCACAGCCCCCTCGAAAAAATCGTGGAAAAAATTGTGGAATGATCACCGCCAAGACATGATGTCGAAGCTACGAATTTCTTTGTCGAGGTGGCGCTTTCGCACTCTTGATTGCGCACACTCGAACGTTTGTGTTCTGGTCTGTGGGCAAGCCGGTGCTGTCGACCGTGCACACCGCTGTAGTGAGTGCTTGCATCTTCCCCAAGGGCTTGACTATATTTTGCCGTAAAATGTATTTTGACGACAAGATGACCATGCAGCACATGCTTCCAACCATACCTACAGATGTCTAGCGTCACGAGAAACCACGCGTGTGCTGAAAGTATCTCGTCCCTTTTCCCACAACATTCTTGCTGCCTGCTAGAATACCACGTCTCACCGGCACTTCAAGATGTTCCCAAGGGCGCTGCCTTCTCATGTTTCACAAACACCGACACACCTCCAGGGCAGGGCCGCTTCCTCTCGCCCCGAACTGTGGACGCAATAAATTTGTCGAGGAAACCAAAACGAACCATTCTTGAGTGTACCGGCGAGACGCACCGCACCCCTCGCGTCTTTCTGTCGCGTGGCGGAAATCAAGTGCCGACGATGGTAGTAGTCACCTTTTCTTTTTGTTCATGTTCCAACGACACATTTCTTGCGCTGTCGCTCCCAGCATCTACCCTCCGTGCGGTCTTCTTCCTGTGGGCTCCACTGAGATTTTCTTCAGGCGGTGGTAAAAAATAGGAAGTGTTCATAAGCCCTAGGTTCACATTCATTTATTTTTCGTACTCGTATGACACGTATGGTATGCGTGTGTGAAGACCGGCGACACCCGCCCTGTGTGCACTGTCATTCCATTCGCTCTGAACATCCGTTTCGTACACCCTCCGTACATATTTTTTGGGGCGATCCGGTCGGGGCCACAGACAGGAGAAAAATATCACGATTGAGGCATCGGTCGGTCATTCATTTCCGACCGTGTAGTCGAATTTTGGGTACGCAAGATGATTGCCATCCTCCTGAAGAGTTTGTTTGGGAAACGTAGGAGAAGATCTCGTCTCTTTTAACTACGCCCACAGTTTGATCGCACCCACATGTATGTATGTCCGGACGTGAGACTGTCTTGCGAAGTTCCCAACCGAACCGCGGCGACCGACACCTCAGTGGATTGGACGAAAAAAACATTTCTTCGTGGCATAGACTAGTCTACAGTATGATGGTGAGAGAGCTCGTTCACGTCAAACCTTTATCCTGGCTGTGTTCTCGTACGAAGTGGTGGTGTGTGTCGCGTTTCATGTGCCTACATAACGCCATTTTTTCCCACAGAAAATGCACAAGTACATACAGCTGTACTCAAATCTGCAGTACTTGAGGCAGGTTTACGTCCGACCTCTTTCCGGTTTGGTTGGCCTTGCTGGAACATAATGTCTCGCTCAAGGTTTTTCGACCTTCCAGGAATACAGCTGTATGTAGTATGTGCAAGCACACGGAAACATGAATAGTCTACTACAATATCTGCCCGACCATTTTGCCCCCATTGATGTCGAGATACTAAAAGTACACGTACATGACGAGAGAGAGCTTTATTTAGGCCAATGTTCCGGCAGGGGCGGATGTTGTTCTTTTGGATCTGGCGAGGCGGGCATGAGCTGCTTTATCTCCATCAAGTGTACAGACGTGGTGTGTGTATCGTATGTGATAAACGAGCATCTTTGTGACAACGTCAAAAGACAGATAAATCTAGACAACAAAGCGTGTTTGCGATGCCCCTCACCGCCGCCACCCCTTCCCTGGACCAATAATGTCTTCCTCGCCACATGAATCAATCAATGGACGAGCACATCGCAATAATACGGAAGCAAGTCATCTAGAGGAGAAGTACCCATCACCATCAGCCTTGATCTAGTACTGCCTGTCGTGCGCCCGCTGGATTTGTACAGTAGTACTACTGTACGAGTACCAGACCCCGTCCCCCTGCCTCGCTCGCCCGAGAAACGTTCATTGCAACTTCCAGAGCACCCGATTGTTGAGGTGACTGGCTGTGTTACGAGCAGCTAAGTAAGGTACCCCACCTCGTACATGATGCACGGTTGATGTTGAAACGACGAAGGCAAGCAGCATTTAGTACGCACCCCTGCCCCCCAAGCGACAAGAGGAGCATGTGGCGGAAACAACAAATATATTCGACAATCAATCAAGTCCACAAAGAAAGATTGGAGGAACCACACAAATAACAACTTGGATGAATTGAAACTTTGATGGGTACAAGCAAGAAACGAACAGGCCAAAGGCATTCATTCCAAAAGGGACTAGCAAAAAATTTCGGCGTTAATGCAACAACATTTATTTTTAGAAAGTACTCACAAGCATTTGTTTGACTAACCGCAAACTGTTCGAAGCACGATGACCACGAGATAAGTGGCCCGCATTTGATTTATTGGCCATTTTTTTAAGGACCGTTCCAAAGGAAAGGCCAAAAAATCCCTGGTCGTCCGATGACGACGACGAAGCCACACGTTGTCTCTGAGATTCAAATTTATCAGATTTTCAAATTTGCCGTGGATGACTGACTAGTCTAGACTATTCGATGACGATTGAGTCGATGATGTCGCAAGCTGATGGATTGACATTCTCCGGTCGGCACAACGGTAGCACCGGGGCAGCGACGAGAGAGGCATCCTTAGCGAGGCCATTGAATGGTGCAGCACGCTAGCTATTGTACGTCCGATCGTTTTCGTGTGGTGGGTGGTGTGGACTGCTGTGGACGACCCTTTACAACTAAGTATAACTGCTGCTGCTGTATTTCTTTTCTCGATCGACGCGAGGAGAGAGAGGTAGAAACAACAACCTATCAGTCAGTCGGTGTTGAAGGAATGGAAACAGACCAACACAGCAGGTACAGGTACCGTTAGGCTATGGGAGCTACATACGACAGCAGGAGTAGGATGCTGCCACCGCTGTCACTCTGCTGCCCATGGAGTTTGGAGGTCTGTATGTCGATGGTGTCAACGGACACCAAGAACATACGCAGTAGACTAATTTGCCGACCGTTTTCACGGACGCGTAGGTGGTGTTTGATTGGCCAATCTTTTACACCGCCAGCTGTGATCACAAAAACAAAAATGCGATCAGAGCAAGAGAGTTCTGCGACAGACACCAGAGGCAGGACAGGCTACACAAGCAGCGTGCGCGAACGTGTGAACATGACAAGACCCGAGACATTCACAGGGGTTCGGCGGGAGAAAAGGTGCAAGGCAGCAGCAGTAGGTGGCAAGACCAACAACACCCGCGATGCATTTTTGAATATTTGTCGCTCCCTTGCGTATGAATCGTGCTTGGGTCTGTACCAGGTACGCTGTAGTATTAGCATATATACAAGTCTTGAGAACCCCGCCGGGGATGGATGTCATGTGCATATATGCCGTCGGCGTCGAGGTGCCGAAGATCTTGAGGTCAAAACCAGACCCATATCCCCCTCACCCCTCTAGGTACATAGCCAGAGGTAGCCGTTTCTTGGGTCGCCTCTCTCTCGTCCCTCCTGCTGTCCCTAGGTCGAGTGCCGTGATTGGAGATCGATAATTCCGTTTACTCAATGCCTCGTGTACCGGCGCAAGTTGCTTCGGTTCACGGACATCAAGGTACATCCCATCCAAACGGTTCCACTAAGTCTTCCCATGCCCCCCCCCCTCGTGCTTCACACCATACCTACAACAGCAATGGGACCCAAGTTGAAGCAGAGCAAAGCCTTCACAGGCAAGGTCAAGGAGGGGAGATCGAGCATCTGCAGCTTCTTCTCCAAGGTAGTACCGTACCTGCTGTTGTTTAGTCAAATATTCAAAATTCAAAGTCCATTTGTACCCAGGTACTACTGACAATTGTTGTACTTCCAAGTACGTATATATCACAGGCGCCGAAGGTCGACCACCACCCGAGTTAACCCTCTTTAGCACGCATCGTCGAATTTTCGACACTTGACACTTGTATGATACGACTACCTCTGTACTACTACACACCGCTGTGTACTGCTGGATGACACTGCATACACCAGGCCGACACCTCTTGTACACATAGTCTACACCATGTGACTACCGCTGTACTGCTAACTGCTACTACACTGCTACAGCAGCACTCCTGATGTAGACTACTGCTGTATGTACTACCGAAACCCCGTGTGCGTTGTACACAACATGAACATATGGTCTATTGTGAACCATGTATTGTTGCTGCTGCTGTCACACACAGCAGCAGCATGATAGATACTTACAGGCAACATGTAGCTTGATGCGTGCTTCCTACTGTTTGCTTCTTCTGCTTTTTGGATGTGCTAAAGATAGGAGAGAAAGAAAGAAACGGGAAGGTGCTGCTGATTCACCCAGCGCGTGCATGTTGCTGCTGTGCGTCCCCTTCCACACACTGAAGCACCCTGCCGTAAGCCTTTCCGATTCTAATCTATGTAGGCTTGAACGCCACCCTGTGTGTTCTAGCTGTAGACTCGAATGTGCCGACATGTTATTTGACCAAAATGTTGACACATCCTTTTGTATAACCAAGTTAACCGTTTTGGTTCAACTTTGTGTTTTGGCTCCAATATTTTGAATATTTTGTTTTCAATAACGCAGGGTGCTATGCATAAGAGGGTTACTTCCGAGTCATATTACCCTCTCAGATGACGCGGAGTACCCGAAAGTACCAAATTCCAGAGTTTTCAATGACTCTACTGTTCTCTAACTCGACCTTCGGTGCCTGTGGTATACATGTAGCGGTAGAATTGCGTATGGTTAGTAGACCGGTTGGTCTCTTCCCGCACAGCACCCCAAAGTCCGGGCTTCGATGTAAGAAACCAAGGAGGAAGTAGTTCCTCTTCCCGTTGACGTACTGTGTTGAGCCATATCAAACACTCACTACTTTGTAGATTAGACACGGAAAACACTGACCACCCACCACCACAAGAATTTCAGCGGATGGGCCGATAGTATCTAACTTAAGGAGACTAGCGTATATATCATGTTCTTGGCGGTTCCGAGCTATAGCGGTTGCACACTGTCTGGCAATTTATCGGCGCCACGCTAGACAGGTGCGAGGAAGACGGGGTGGTTTTTCGCGGGCCTTTCGATGTTTTTTTCAGAAGCGAGCGAGCGACAGCACAGAACACGTCGAATGAGCGTGTGTTTCCAAGGATATATTTGATTTGTTCCGACTGTGTAGTCTTATGCATCTAATCAACAACAGAGCTCGTTTGTCATGATGATATTTTCATATTTTCCAGAGCCAAGCGGTCTCCTCACCTAGCATGCGAGACGCTGGCGGCCGGTCGGGAAGTTCTGGGGTCTTCCAACGAACAGCCCGGGACCCCCGCCCGCGCCCGAACAGGTAAAAGCTGTTCTGTGTCTTCATTGCGCTCGTTGTTGAGTGTAGACGGTGCCCGCAATTTTCGGCATCGGTACTTTCGAACATATATTTAAACGAAAACCGACTGATATCGCCTCTTTTGTGTTCAATTTTTCCTCTGAGCACCCAACGCACGGCCATCCCAACGGGAAGGGGGTTAGGTGTGGATGTAAAATTGTTGCCACTCGAAAAAACATCATTCGCCTATTTGCCGTACGCAACAACCAACCACAGCTTAAACCTCCGCATCCTCACAGGCACCATCCACCACCGGCTGGGGTGCTCTCCCCGATATCTTTCCCAGGGGAGCATTGGCTTCCCCCTCGTCATGGACCGAGGGTGTCTTACATGGCGCGGGGATGTCTTTGGTGGACACATCTATGGTCTCCCCAGAGGTACGTGTCTGTGTCGGGAGGCTCCGAATAGAGTCGAATTTGTTGTTGAATGGCTGGTTTTATACGTTGTCTCAACCAATATTCCCAGGTGATAAAAGACAAAACTCTGACAGCAACAGTGACCGATGATGCAAGTACTAACGCTTCTTGTTTTTCGATTTCGCGTTCATTACCCTTATCCCCCCTCCAACCCCTCTCTGTTCCACTCACGGCCCCTCCCCCCCCGTCCAAATACATGTAATGTTGTCCGCCACACGAACCTAAAATCAATAGGGGGGTTAAGTGTCACCTTCCACGACGAACTTTAACTTTCGTGCCACGTACGCAAGGAAGTAAGCACAAGATGCCGAACACCCTTAGCAGGATGCAGCGCACCCTTCATGCGACTCGCCGAATATCTCACGGCGCTTCGCGCTTGGTGATGTGAGAGCCTGGTCCGGT